TTTTAGTTTTTGAGAAAACAATATTTGAAGTTTTGATAAAATTTTCAATTTTCATCGATAATTTACAAAATTCGTTATAAAATTAATTTCTTGAAGGAGCCTTGTGGAAATATCACCAATTATTAATTAAAGTATCCTCTTTTTAATGCAAAAAACCGTCTTGAAAAATCACTTTTAGGTCTTGAGAAATAAATTTTTGAAATAATCGACAATTTTTCGAATTTTGCAATTTTCGCCGATTAAGTTTTAAAAATTCGTATAAAATTCATTTCTTGGAATATGAGTATGAAAATTTCCCAAAGTGTTAATAAGAATGTCCCCTTTCCAATGAACCAACACGTTTTGAAAAATAACCGTTAGTTTTTGAGAAAACAATATTTGAATTTTCGATGTTGCAATTTTCATCGATAATTTTCAAAATTCGCTATAAAATTCATTTCTGAAGGATACTTGTGGAAATATCGCCAATTATTAATTAAGGTATCCTCGCTTTAGAGTTGCTTCGTTAGATAAATCAGCATCAAAAAAGTTCATTTTGTATCTTGGATCCAAATAAGTTGACATATCTTATCAGCTTTCTTATTAATTTAATTTTTATTCACATATCGCAATAATGTGGCAATGTAGGGTATTCACTTCAGAAATGTACCAGAAATTATACCCATAATGGCCGGATAGATATGCCGGATACTTTTTTGCTTTATTTTATTTCTACAGGTGTTTCAGCTTCTTGTAGTAGGACTTTAACAGTCGATTGATCTTTCAAAATTAACACAAACTTTATACAGGATGTTTTAAAACAACGTTTAAATATTTATAGGGGTAGTACTACTAGTTAATCGACATGGGTCCGAAAATCAACCGTTTTCAAGATACAGGATGTTCAAATTTATTGCGACTCTACGTTTTTTCTTTTAAACTATAACTACTACAGATTTGATACTTGGCAAATCGATACAGTATGAAACTGTCTGTTTTTGAGAATAGTATGATGTTTCCATTGCTTTGTTTCCATTTGACCGGAAGTGAAAATAAATACCACTATTTTTCAGAAAATGCAAAAATTTTATGTAAAATTGGTTAGATAGCTTAATTCTAAACAACATTAATTTAAAAAAAAAATTGTACTCCTTAAAAGAAGATAGAAGTTTGGTCTTTGCGGGATTGAATTAGTCTCGGAAAAGGAGACCGAGACATGGCACCTACTTTTTTCGTATCTCTTATAGTTTCTGAGATAGCCTATAATAACATCCAAATTTGCCCACCCTGTACAATCTGCGATACATTAATTTGAAGTTTCGTTCAAATTACGAAATAACCAAACTCCAGTAATTTGATTTTGCGAAACCTGAAGTGAAATAGTTTGCAATGGTCTTGTATTCAAATGCTGAAATGAGTGACATGGTGTTTATGATTCTCAGCTAACATACTTTTTACCGATGGAGCTGGTTTTTGAGAAATGGAACATTTAATTTCCACAAGAAGAATCCTCGAGCCGTTGTTGAAACCAGACATCAAGAGCGTTTTAGTTTAAATATCTGGTTAGGCGTCGTAGGGGATAGGTTGTTGGGATCGATAGTTTTACGACAACCATTAAACGGTTTAACATATTTGGATTTCTTGGAAAACACTCTACCTCAACTTTTGGAAGACTTGCCGTTAAATGAAAGACTAAATCTCTAGTTTCTGCAGGATGGAGCTCCCCCGCATTTTACGCGTATTGTTAGACAACATTTGAATGAAAGGTTTCCTGGGAGATGTATAGGACGAGGAGGCCCCATTTTGAACATCTTCAGTAAAAAGCTGCGTTTTGATTAGTATTAGTATTACGTTGTGTCAATTCAATTATTTAATAATTAATTTTAAAAAATGTTTTTTTTTCTCGGAAACCTTAAGGAATACAAATTTTTTTTCGAATAAATATTGTTTAGAATTAAGCTATCTAACCAATTGTTAAATAAAATTTTTGGATTTTCTGAAAAATAGTGGTATTTATTTTCACTTCCGGTCCAAGCGGAAGCAATGGAAACATCATACTATTCTCAAAAAAGAGACAGTTTCATACTGCATCGATTTGACAAGTATCAAATCTGTAGTAGTTACAGTTTAAAAGAAAAAACCTAGCGTCCCAAAAAATTTGAACATCCTGTATCTCGAGAACGGTTCATTTTCGGACCCATGTTTATTAACACTTTTCGACTGTAGTACTACCCCTATAAATAATTAAACGTTGTTTTAAAACACCCTGTATAAAGATAGGCCGACAAACGCTTTGTGTTGGAGATACAGGATGTTCAAATTAAATTTTTAAATTAATTTTTTTTTAATATTACACGTGTATTTCAATCGATTCTATTCAAATTTGGTATAGAGGGGTTTTTAGGCATGAAAAAGACAGTTATGGTGTCCGTTTTACTACAGCCGGTAGAGGGCGCTCTGTATGTATTCTTTACTGATTAAAAGAACCGTAACTTTTGTGACAGTATACTTTTTGGCTTTTTGAATAAAAATTCTTATTCTCTGTACTTTTTTAAGCAAAAAGGCACTCTTACCAAAATGCGCTAAAGTTGATCGTTTTCAAGATAAAGGGTCATGCCAGAAAATAGATATTTTTAGTACAAAATATAAGAAATGTAAAATAAGGGAAGGTATGGTGTTTTTCTGGGGTTATAGGAATAAGGTAGCAATTTTGGTAGCCAAAGAATGAAAAAGATGACATGTGCTTTGTAAGTTTCATATTAATTTGAATAATTTCGTAATTAGGTAGTTCCTGATGATGATTTTGTTTTATTTTAAAAATATATCCATCCAAAAAAGTGCAAAATTGAATTTGATTAAATTCAACAGAATAGAAAAAGACAACAAAGTTAATAAAACAATTTTACCTTGTCCATCCGATACAGCAACTTCATTACTGGTTCCAGGCTTGGGTTCCTCTCCACTTTCTAACATAGCATAATCTTCTGCATCATCAATATTTTCTGTTTCATCTAATTGATCTTCAACACCAACCTCGTGATAATCCTCATTAGTTACATCATCATCTAAATGTTCATAAGTTTCATTTAAATGTTGCTCAGTTTGTGTTTCATCGTAAGGTTCCATTTTAAACTCAATAATCTCTTCTGTTGTAGGAATTTCAACATCTTTTTCACAACTATTTAATCTACGCCTTTTCAATGAAGGTTGCAACAATTTTTTAAGTATTGAAGGTTTATTTTGAATTATAACCGGTTTAACCAACACTTCTTCATTCTGATAATTATCATCCCCCAATTCAGTGTCATCATTACATTCCCCCGTTATTCCCTGGACTTGTAAAGCTTCCGCTGTTTTAACAAATACATTTATGTGTTCTTCATTTACTTGTACTTCCCCTTGATACATAAACGTAAGGAGGTCGTTCATTGCGATGTAACTCACGTCTTTCATGAAAACTATGGGGTGTTTGCAGGGATTTGATTGAAATAATTCTTTGAAATAGGGGCTGCATATTGAGAGAACGATTTTGTGGGCTTTTATATATTTTCCTTCAACCGCTAAAGTTACATCCACTAAGTCTTCATTCTCTAATAACGCTTGCATCCCATTACTCATATTTTTATGGAAGTTGTCCCAACACAAAGAATATTGTTCTTCTCCCATGATTTTCGTTTAACAACAAAACCGTTGATTTGATCACTTATTAAAGTTAGGTTAACAGGCAACTTTCAAAAAATAAAAACCCTAAAAACAAAAACATTTAAAATTCATTAAATTTAAATTAATAATAATTCTAATTTATTTCCAACAATAATTAACTCAAAAAAAAAGCTTTAATAACAATTTTATTCATTTAATTAATTAAATTAATAATAATAATAGTGATTTTTTTTTATTAAAGTTTCCCAAAAAAATCGTTGACAGTTAATTCTGCGCATGCGTTTTAGGTTATAAACAACCAACTCAAAATGTTGTCGTTATCACAAGACGATTTTGCCGCCAATGCACGAAAATTAGAACAATTTTTTAAGTTAAAAAAAGCTGGGGAGGGAACGTACGGGATCGTTTATAAGGCAAAAGATAAAATAACCGGGAAATATGTGGCTTTGAAGAAAATCGCGTTGGAAAAGTGAGTTTTTAAGTCGCATAACCCAATCTTTTTGCGTCGTTACTTTTGTAAGTTAAGCGATGGGGTCAGTTGAATTTTGTCGGTTTTACTTTGTATTTAAAGAGTAGCACCACAGGATTCAGCTTATCTCGTCGTTAACACACCAAAAAATCAATTAAATTTAACCTTTAAAAAATATTTGTTTTTTTTTTAATTTTGCAAGAAAATTGTTTTAGACACGATCGTCCCAATGAATCAGAAGGAATCCCTTCGACTACAATTCGAGAAATATGCCTTTTAAAATCGCTTCATCATTCGGCGATTGTGGAACTTTTAGATATTATTTTTACAGAATCGAAATGTTTATACATGGTGTTTGAATTTTTACACATGGATTTAAAAAAATATTTAGAGATTAGTGTAGGAGTTTTATCTGAAAATTTAATAAGAGTATGGTTATTAATGCGATTTTAATTCGTTTATAATTTTTAATTGTGTTTAAGAGTTATATGAAGCAATTAATTGATGGAATTGGTTATTTGCACACCCACAGAATTTTACATCGCGATTTAAAACCACAAAATTTATTACTAGACAATGAAGGTCACATTAAATTAGCCGATTTTGGATTATCTCGATCATTTACTTTACCAACACGAATTTTTACCCATGAAGTTGTTACTTTGTGGTATAGAGCACCTGAATTATTATTTGGGGCCAAAATGTACAGCACATCAGTTGATATTTGGAGTTTAGGGTGTATTATGGCAGAAATGGTACTTTAAAAATGATTTCTAAGAGTATTTAATATCCTTTTTTGTTTAATTAGATCATAAAGAAGCCCTTGTTTCCGGGTGATTCAGAAATTGATGAATTATATAAAATATTTAGACTCCTTGGGACTCCAACAGAAAAAAATTGGAAAGGAGTGACCATGTTAAATGAATATAAAAAATCTTTTCCCATGTGGGAGAAGCAGAATTTGAAGGATAAAATTAATGCGCCAAGTGAAGAAGCTTTAAATTTGATTGATGTAATGACGAAATAATTGATTTCTTAAGACTTAAATTTTATTTTTTAGAATATGTTAACTTATGATCCAGAGAGGAGACCCACATCTTTGGAATTACTTAAAATGGATTATTTAAAAAATGCTAAGCTCACACCTCCAATATCTGATTATTTCGAAGATGACTAAATTTTTATTTTGGAATGTTTTTGTGATTAAATTGAATGATCAAAGTATTATTATGTATTTGACAATAAATTTTTATACAATTTAAGTTTTCTTCTTGAATTAACAAATTGTATAATCAAGAGATGGCGCCACTTAATGAACTGTCAAAATTATTTTTATTAAATTAAATATTAAAATTTGAAAGAAAATTCGATAAATTAATTGTAATTAACCAAAAATTAATTAATCTAAAAATCACTTAAAAAGATATTAAAAATAAAAAGATGTTTTGAAGATTTAATGACTAATTTTTATATTGGAATGTTTTTATGATTAAAATGAATGATCAAAGTATTATTATGTATTTGATAATAAATGTTTATATAATTTAAGTTTTTTTCTTGAATTAACAAATTAAATAGAATAAAGTTTTTAATTAAAATATATTTTTGTTTTTATGCATAAAATTAAGAGATGGCGCCACATAGTGATCTATCAAAATTATTTTTATTAAATTAAAATTTGAAAGTAAATTCGATAAATTAATTGCAATTAACCAAAAATTAATTAATCTAAAAATTACATAAAAAGATATTAAAAATAAAAAGATGTTTTGAAGATTTAATGGCGAATTTTTATTTTGAAATGTTTTTGTGATTCAAATGAATGATCAAAGTATTATTATGTATTTGACTATTAAATTTGTATACAATTTAAGTTTTCTTCTTGAATTAACAAATTAATTAGAATAAAGTTTTTAATTAAAATATATTTGTTTTTATGCACAAAATTAAGAGATGGCGCCACATACCAAACTGTCTAAATTATTTTCATTAAATTAAATATTAAAATTTGAAAGAAAATTCGATAAATTAATTGCAATTAACCAAAAATTAATCGATCTAAAAATTACATAAAAAGATATTAAAAATAAAAAGAAGTTTTGAAGATTTAATGACAAATTGTTACTTTGGAATGTTTTTGTGATTAAAATGAATGATCAAAGTATTATTATGTATTTGACAATAAATTTTTATACAATTTAAGTTTTTTTCTTGAATTAACAAATTAATTAGAATAAAGTTTTTAATTAAAATAAGTTTTGGTTTTTATGCATAAAATTAAGAGATGGCGCCACATAACGTAGTGTCAAAATAATTTTCATTAAATTAAATATTAAAATTTGAAAGAAAATTCGGTAAATTAATTGCAATTAACCAAAAATTAATCAATCTAAAAATTATATAAAAAGATATTAAAAATAAAAAGTTATTTTGAAGATTTAACGTACAAAGTTAGTAAAATTATTAAGAGATGGCGCTGTGTTCTAAACTTTAAATTACTTAAATTAAAACATTAAAATGTTGTAATTAATATTTTTACTTTTTTATTTTAATTCATCTTTAAATTTAACACTTCGAATCTTTATAAACTGATTATGGAATCGTCAAAGCACAAATTATTTTTTTGAGGTTATGTTCTACTTAGACGTTATTTTGATAAGAAATATTAAAATTGCTTGGGTGATAACGTAATAATGCTTTAGTACGTACCTTTGTAATCTTAGTTTCCTTAAAAGATTGTATTAAAAGAAAAACACAAATCAGCCGGGACACAAATGCCATACAATGATAATTTTTGGTATTTTTTCTTAGCCAAACTAAAAGTTCCTTGTTTTAGGTTAAATTTGAAACTTTTACGCATGTAATGTTGTGTAAATCTCGCAAAACTCACCGAAACGTAAAAATATCTTCGACATTTTAACAAATTTGACATTTAAACGTCAGATGTTGACAACATGAACGAAGTTATAAATTTCAGATTCAGAAGTACCAACATAAATTAAATAATTTTTTGATGAAATATTTAAAAAGAAAATGTTTAAACTTTAATAAATTATTATAATTAGAGATTATTGAGAACGATTTCATCGAACATTAAAAAAAATCATTCAAAACATCGGCATCATTAGTTCCTGAGAAACTCAAAAAGTTACTTGAAGCTCCTCATCTACTTCCTGACCGGACACTGCACATTCCATTTATTAAAATATTATTGCAAACCGAACCATAAACAAATAAAGATGAAGATAAAGTGGTTTGGTTTAATCTTAAAGTATTTTTACTCATTCAAGAATTGAAATACGTTCTAAGTAAGACTTTTAAGGGGATTTTTTTGTCTGCGTTCGATCTCCTGACGGCACTTGAGATTATCGATCTTTATATTATACGGTAATTAGATTGTTAGAGGTTGAATTTTCTAAAATTAAAATGATCTGTCATCAAAAAAATAAGATAACGACCAGATCATTACAAAAGATATTACGTGTGTGTATTACATAGCGTAATTTCTTGGAAAAATTGTTTATTCAAGGAAAAATAAAATAAAATTCTTTTAAAAATAAAAGTAATAAATAAAGTAATAAAGAATTGATTTCATCTTTGTTAAAAGTTGCGAAAAAGAAGTTATGTTTGATAGATTTAAATCTGTTTCGTTTTAAAAGATGTAATATGGACGTTCTTTTTTGAAAACGATAAAAAAAATGATAAGATATGATGGTTAGGTATAAATAACGGGTTTTTTCGTTAAGAGTACGATCCAACATGCTAAAATTAATTATCTTGTTACTTTGCGTGTACGCCGTTGGTGAGTTTTCAACATCATCTTTTGATTGCGTAAAGATTTCAATTTAAACTCGTTTTAGCTGCCGATAGGGGTTTCAAACCCATCGTGCCAACTTTGGATGGAAGAATCGTCGGAGGTCAAACGGTGAACATCGCCAACTTCCCTTACCAAGTATCTCTCAGACTTGGAACTTCCCATTTCTGTGGAGCTGTCATCATCGGTACTAATTGGGCTGTTACTGCTGCTCATTGTCTTGTCGGGTATTTTTTTAACGATTTTTGGAATTTATTTGTTTATTGTTCTTTTTTTGTAGTGTTTCTGGAACCTTCAGCATCAGGTCTGGAAGTTCTATGGCTAATTCTGGAGGTACCATTCACAGCATCTCTAGATTGGTTGTTCACGGAAGCTACAACTCTAGAACTCTCGATTTCGACATTGCGCTCGCACAAATTTCTGGATCTTTCGCTCTTGGAAGCACTGGAGTGCAAAGAATTAATTTGCCATCAGCTGGTAGCCGCCCATCTGCTGGTACTAACGCTGTTGTGTCTGGATGGGGTGCCATTAGGGTAAATTTAAATATAATAAATAAATTAATCTTTAATTTCTTCCTATTCTCATATAAATAGGAAGGTGGACCTGGTGCCACTCAACTCCAAGCTGTTACTGTTCCAATTGTCAGCCAAGCTAGTTGTAGATCATCTTATGGCACTTCCGCTATTACTGATCGGTGAATAATTCTTTTTTAACTTAACAATTTTGTTTTAATTTTAATCTTTTTTAGTATGATTTGCGCTGGATTTGCTTCTGGTGGTAGAGACGCTTGTCAAGGAGACAGCGGTGGCCCATTAGCTGTTGGAAACACCCTCGTCGGTGTTGTTTCTTGGGGAAGAGGATGCGCTAGACCCAATTTCCCCGGAGTTTACGCCTGCACTGGAAATCTCCGCAATTGGATCGCCCAAATTTCCGGAATTTAAACCGGAACTGGGTTGAAAATTAATTTCTTTTTCAATTAAATTGAAATAAAGTTGTTTAATTAAATGCTTTAAAGAATGGATAAATAAAGAATCGAACAAAATACACATTATTTTTGTGGTTTTTTATTTCTAACCTTGATTTTTTATCTTTTGAGTGTGCTTTTTGATGGATTAACATCAACAATGTGATTAATAATATAGGTACTTCAAGATACCAAATTAACTCATTTTTATCTCCAATTTACTTATAAATTTTTTAATATTATCTTTTAAATTTAAACTCCTGTTTGTGACGAATCGAGTTTTCTTCTTGAATCAACAAATTGCATAAAATCAAGAGATGGCGCCACATAGTGAACTGTCAAAATTATTTTTATTAAATTAAATATTAAAATTTGAAAGAAAATTCAATAAATTAGTTGCAATTAACCAAAAATTAATCAATCTAAAAATTACATAAAGAGATATTAAAAATAAAAAGATGTTTTGAAGATTTAATGACAAATTGTAATTTTGGAATGTTTTTGCGATTAAAATGAATGATCAAAATATTATTATGTATTTAACAATAAATTTTTATATAATTTAAATTTTCTTTTTGAATTAACAAATTAATTAGAATAAAGTTTTTAATTAAAATATATTTTTATTTTTATGCACAAAAATAAGAGATGGCGCCACATACTAAACTGTTAAAATTATTTTCATTAAATTAAATATTAAAATTTGAAAGAAAATTCGATAAATTAATTGCAATTAACCAAAAATTAAGCAATCTAAAAATTACATAAGAAGATATTAAAAATAAAAAGATGTTTTGAAGATTTAATGACAAATTGTTATTTTGGAATGTTTTTGTGATTAAAATAAATGATTAAAGTATTATTATGTATTTAACAATAATTTTTTGTACAATTTAAGTTTTCTTGTTGAATTAACAAATTAATTGGAATAAAGTTTATAATTAAAATAAATTTTTGTTTTTATACATAAAATTAAGAGATGGCGCCACATAGTGAACTGTCAACATTATTTTTATTAAATTAAATATTAAAATTTGAAAGAAAATTCGTTAAATTAATTGCAATTAACCAAAAATTAATCAATCTAAAAATTACATAAAAAGATATCAAAAATAAAAAGATTTTTTGGAGATTAAATGACTAATTTTTATTTTGGAATGTTTTTGTGGTTAAAATGAATGATTAAAGTATTATTATGTATTTGACAATAAATTTGTATACAATTTAAATTTTCTTGTTGAGTTAACAAATTAAATAGAATAAAGTTTTTAATTAAAATGTTAAAATATATTTTTGTTTTTATGATAAAATTAAGAGATGGCGCCACATACTAAACTGTTAAAATTATTTTCATTAAATTAAATATTAAAATTTGAAAAAGAATTCGATAAATTAATTATAAATAACCAAAAATTAATCGATCTAAAATTTAGATAAAAAGATATTAAAAATAAAAAGATGTTTTGAAGATTTAATGACAAATTGTTATTTTGGAATGTTTTTGTGATTAAAATGAATGATCAAATTATTATTATGTATTTAACAATAAATTTTTATACAATTTAAGTTTTCTTCTTGAATTAACAAATTAATTAACATAAAATTTTTAATTAAAATATATTTTTGTATTTATGCACAAAATTAAGAGATGGCGCCACATAATCTAGTGTCAAAATAATTTTCATTAAATTAAATATTAAAATTTGAAAAAAAAATCGATAGATTTTAATATTATCTTTTAAATTTAAACTCCAGTTTGTTGACGAACCCAACTGCGAAGATTACCAACGCTGGCATAAACACCGGGGTATCCAGCCAAAGCGCATCCTCTTCCCCAAGAAACAACACCAACGAGAGTATTTCCAACAACTAATGGACCTCCACTATCACCTTGACAGGCGTCTTTACCTCCAGCAGTAAATCCAGCGCATAACATACTAAAAAAAGAGCCATTTTAATTTATTTCAACCAAAAACAATAAAATTATTCACCGATCAGTGATGGATGAAGTTCCATAAGAAGATTTACAACTAGATTGGCTAACAATTGGTACAGTGACGGATTGAAGCTGAGTTGGAAGACTACTAGACCCAGACTAACAATAAAAAAATGTATAAATACAAAAAATAATCTCATTTTCGCAAACTTACGCTTAAAGTTCCCCATCCTGATACAATAGCATTAGTTCCAGCACTTGGGGTGCTTCCATCAGAAGGAAGAGCAACTGTGTTCACACCAGAAGCTCCAATATTAAAAGCTGTGCTAACTTTAATAACGGCAATATCGTAATCGACGGTAGCTGAATTATAACTTGAGTGATAAATAATCGAGGAGATGCTATGGATGGTCCCTCCTGAGGCGTGGAGGCTACTTCCAGAACGGATTGTCAAGGAAGATGCGGTTTTTCTACAAGCAACGAATTAAAATTCGATTTTTATACGTTTCTTTAAACTTACCCAACGACGCAATGAGCGGCGGTGATAGCCCAATTTGCGCTAATAATTGAAGCTCCACAAATGTGAGATCCTGAAGATCTTAAACTTAATTGGTAAGGGAAGTTTGCGATGTTAGCGTTTGAACCTCCTACAATGCGTCCATCGAGCATTGGGACCATTGGGGCATCTCTTGGTGCTGATTTAAATAAACAAAATTAAATAAATTTTAATATGAAACTTTAATTTTCTTACCGGCGAAGGCGCAACCAACAAAAACTAAAGCAAGGATGAAACGCATTTTACTTAGAATTGATCGAACTCGTAAGTTGTGGCTAGTTTTAAAACGATCCCCTTTATATATTAATTGGAAATAAAAAGATTAAATTTTTTTTGATTTAACCACTTCACTTTTAATGCTTAAGCAATCGTTTTTTTTTAGTGTAAGTGTAATGTAAATAAAGTGTTTTAATAACTATCTCTAGATTAGATATTGACCGGTTAATAAAAAGTTAGTTTTAATAATTATTTATTCTCTACTTTATTATTATAATAGGTATAAAAATAAAATGAAATGAGTTTTAAACAAGATGACGTATTGTCCTAATCGATAACAATCTCATGTACTTTTTGTGTTTCTTAGTATTTTATCTGATTCATCGATAATATTGTTTTTGTTATAATGGTCAATGTTGTACTTTTAAGGCAAATAAATTTAAATTTGAGTAGCTTGGAATCAAAAGCGGCCAAATCCACATTTTTTTCATGGAAATTACTATATCTGGTGGAAATTGTTGTCTAAATTTTGATCTGAGTTGCAAAATCGGCCAAATTCACTGCTGTTTGTGCATCATAAGTTGAAGTATCTTATAGAAACGTTGAATTTTCGTTCATTGCGGTTATTACATTGTGTAATAATAATAATATGTTGAAATTGATTCCATAAATTTATTTTTTTAAATAAAGTTAAACGTCAATGTGACAGAAATTCAATGTAACCAACTTCACAACTAATTGCTCAAATTAAATGTCAATTTTATGAAACGTCATGTTTTTTTTTACGAAAATTAATTAATTTATGCTTAAATCATGCGAAAAAAGGAATTGGTTTACGTTTTTTTAATATCAAACCTTTAGAAAGTCCTAAAAAAATTAAATTTATTTGACGTTTTTTGAAATGTTGACGTTTCAAATAATTATTAGTCTGTCAAGTTGATTTCCCATCAATAATGTTTATTCACCGCTATTATTCACTCTGTGAAAAATGATTATCCTTTAAAACAAATTTTTTTAAATAAGTTTTTGAATAAATTTAAACGTCAATGTGACACAAATTCGATCACAACAATTTGTCAAAATTAAATGTCAATTTTATGAAATGTCATGTTTTTGTTGGATTATATACATTTATAAATATACACCATCTAGTGAGTTATTTAGTTTCGATTATGATTTAGGTGTGATCAAGTAGTCAATATAAAAAAGGTAGTTATTAGTTAAGCTTTTATACTGTTTTTGTGTTTAATAAAAAAGTACGACACTTTTAAAAGCGATCACGTACTATTTTTTACATGGTAGCAGAACGTGGTTAAATAAAAGAAGAAAACGTGGTAAAGGTGGTAAAACTAATGATTGCTGAGAAGAATAGTAAAAGAATTTGAATTGGAATTTATATAGAAGGTTATAAAAAATGACGGACGTAACGATACCGATGTTCGATGGAGAAGATTACGGAAGCTGGAAAAAGAGATTAATCATGTATTTGAAAAAAACAGTATAAATTTTTTTGTGTTTAATAAAATTACGACACGTTTAAAACCGATCAAGTATTGTTTTTCTCGTCAATGTGATACAAATTCAATGTTATCAACTGTAACCAACTTCACAACTAATTGTTCAAATTAAATGTCAATTTTATGAAACGTCATGTTTTTTTACGAAAATTAAATAATTTATGCTTAAATCATACGAAAAAAGGAATTTGTTTACGTTTTTTTAATATCAAACCTTTAGAAAGTCCAAAAAAAATTAAATTAATTTGACGTTTTTTGAAATTTTGACGTTTCAAATAATTATTAGTCTGTCAAGTTGATTACCCATGAATAGTGATTATTCACTGCTATTTCTCACTCTGTCAAAAATGACTATTCTTTAAAACTCGCTTTTTAAATAAATTTTTGAATAAAGTTAAACGTCAATGCGATACAAATTCAATGTTACCAATTGTAACCAACTTCACAACAATTTATCAAAATTAAATGTCAATTTTATGAAACGTCATGTTTTTTCTACGAAAATTTATTAATTTATGCTTAAATCATACGAACAAAGAAATACATCTGAAGAGGAAATTTTAGCCTTGCTTAGTATTAAAATTAATGCCGTAGGTGACGACCAGATCAGTAGGAAAATGTTATTACTTTGCTGTCCAACTATTTTGCCATTAATTTGTCATATTTTTAACTTTTGTATTGAACATTCCGTTTTTCCTGATGATTGGAAGGTCGCTTTGGTACTTCCGTTAGCTAAAACCAACAACGCATCTCAATTGAAAGATCTTAGGCCTATAACTATTTTGCCTGTTCTGTCGAAGGTTTTTGAAAGAATAATTGCTACCAGACTGACAGAGCATTTGGAGAGATTTTGTATCCTTCCTAGCAAACAGTCTGGATTTAGGCCTGGCTTTAGCTGCTCATCTGCTCTGTTGGATGACTACTTGATTTCTCTAAGGCACAATGGTCGGTACTGTGTATCTTCCCCATTCTTCTTTGGCTTCTCTATCAAGACCAGTCTTCCTTCTTTCCAGATTTTTGGGAATTTACATGATTCCAATAGTTCTTGATATAATGTTGCTATCTTTTCTCCAATTGCCATAACAGTATCTCGTGCAATTTCATTCGTTACACTCACCCCATACGTTTCCTCCTTGTTGTTGTCATTTCCCTTGTCGCTTCTTGTCAATTTCCTTCTTATATCGTTGGCCCTTTTTTTAATTTCACCTATCTCAGAATTCCACCAGTATACACTCCCGTTTTTTATTCTTCTTTTTCTCTTCCGCCCATACACCTTCTTACATGCTCTTTCGGTTATTTCCTTGAGTTTCTCCACACTTAGTGTTTCTACGTTTTGCGCTCGTTTCTTAACCTCTTCTATATATTCTTCAGTCCTATCGACGTCTCTTCTCCATTCCCCCTCTACTGTGGTTTTATTCTGAGAATGGTTTGTACTTCGTTGGAGAATTATTTCTATGTTTAGGTGGTCGCTCAAGTTTTCCTCCTCCATCACTCTTCACGCCTTCACATTCGCCACCATATCCTCATTACACATTGTTACATCTATGTTCGACTCCTGGTTACCCCTTCTCCATGTCGGTAATCCTCCTCGATTCAACACAACCAGCCCTCTTTCAGCAGAACACTCGCATAGGAGTCTTCCTCTTCTATCCTCTTTTGTTGCCTGCCATGTAGGCGACTTGGCGTTAAAATCTCCGCCTATTATAACATTTCCCCTCTCTCCTCCCAGCATATCCCTCATCTTTCCCAATCTTTCCTCAAAGGCCTCTATGTTTTCATTTGGTGAGATATAGCATCCAATCACTATGTACTCCTCAAATCTGACTGCCACATATCCCTTCTCTCTTTTACATCCCCTTATCGTCATNTTTTTTACGAAAATTAAATAATTTATGCTTAAATCATACGAAAAAAGGAATTTGTTTACGTTTTTTTAATATCAAACCTTTAGAAAGTCCAAAAAAAATTAAATTAATTTGACGTTTTTTGAAATTTTGACGTTTCAAATAATTATTAGTCTGTCAAGTTGATTACCCATGAATAGTGATTATTCACTGCTATTTCTCACTCTGTCAAAAATGACTATTCTTTAAAACTCGCTTTTTAAATAAATTTTTGAATAAAGTTAAACGTCAATGTGATACAAATTCATTGTAACCAACTGTAACCAACTTCACAACAATTTGTCAAAATTAAACGTCAATTTTATGAAACGTCATGTTTTTTCTACGAAAATTTATTAATTTATGCTTAAATCATACGAACAAAGAAATACCTCTGAAGAGGAAATTTTAGCCTTGCTTAGTATTAAAATTAATGCCGTAGGTGACGACCAGATCAGTAGGAAAATGTTATTACTTTGCTGTCCAACTATTTTGCAATTAATTTGTCATATTTTTAACTTTTGTATTGAACATTCCGTTTTTCCTGATGATTGGAAGGTCGCTTTGGTACTTCCGTTAGACAAAACCAACAACCCATCTCAATTGAAAGATCTTAGGCCTATAACTATTTTGCCTGTTCTGTCGAAGGTTTTTGAAAGAATAATTGCTACCAGACTGACAGAGCATTTGGAGAGATTTTGTATCCTTCCTAGCAAACAGTCTGGATTTAGGCCTGGCTTTAGCTGCTCATCTGCTCTGTTGGATGACTACTTGATTTCTCTAAGGCACAATGGTCGGTACTGTGTATCTTCCCCATTCTTCTTTGGCTTCTCTATCAAGACCAGTCTTCCTTCTTTCCAGATTTTTGGGAATTTACATGATTCCAATAGTTCTTGATATAATGTTGCTATCTTTTCTCCAATTGCCATAACAGTATCTCGTGCAATTTCATTCGTTACACTCACCCCATACGTTTCCGTTCAGCTCCTCGCACAGTTTTCTCCAAGCTTGTTTTTTTAGCTTTTTATCTCTCTCTTCAATCCTCTTTTAGCCTTTTCATGTTCTCTTTTTAGTGCTGTTCCCTCCTCGTTGTTGTCATTTCCCTTGTCGCTTCTTGTCAATTTCCTTCTTATATCGTTGGCCCTTTTTTAATTTCACCTACCTCAGAATTCCACCAGTATACACTCCCGTTTTTTATTCTTCTTTTTCTCTTCCGCCCATACACCTTCTTACATGCTCTTTCGGTTATTTCCTTGAGTTTCTCCACACTTAGTGTTTCTACGTTTTGCGCTCGTTTCTTAACCTCTTCTATATATTCTTCAGTCCTATCGACGTCTCTTCTCCATTCCCCCTCTACTGTGGTTTTATTCTGAGAATGGTTTGTACTTCGTTGGAGAATTATTTCTATGTTTAGGTGGTCGCTCAAGTTTTCCTCCTCCATCACTCTTCACGCCTTCACATTCGCCACCATATCCTCATTACACATTGTTACATCTATGTTCGACTCCTGGTTACCCCTTCTCCATGTCGGTAATCCTCCTCGATTCAACACAACCAGCCCTCTTTCAGCAGAACACTCGCATAGGAGTCTTCCTCTTCTATCCTCTTTTGTTGCCTGCCATGTAGGCGACTTGGCGTTAAAATCTCCGCCTATTATAACATTTCCCCTCTCTCCTCCCAGCATATCCCTCATCTTTCCCAATCTTTCCTCAAAGGCCTCTATGTTTTCATTTGGTGAGATATAGCATCCAATCACTATGCACTCCTCAAATCTGACTGCCACATATCCCTTCTCTCTTTTACATCCCCTTATCGTCATTCCTCTATTAAAAAACTTTATAGCGACGTCACTCTCCCAGTCCGTAAACCAGTCCGCACCGTAAACCTTCTTCTTATTTGGCTCTGACACTATAACAACATCCACTTCTTCTCTCTGGTACTTTTCCTCTGCCAGATTCATTGCTTCTATACATCTGTTCAGATTTGTCTGCAGTATCTTTATTTCCCTTCCTGGCTTTTGATGTACTGCATCATGAAACTCTCTTTTCAATTCTTCATTTCATTAGTCTATCAGATGCAGATATATGCTTGTTTAGAAGCTACTTCTGCGACAGACTACAATTAGTTGAATTTAACGATAAATTGTCTAGACCAGGTAGCATCACATCGACTCTCGATCTGTAATGTTCATATGGTGAAGAATGAAGGGTCAATTTATTGCTATAATGTGATCTCTTCCAATAACCACAACATAAATGTATTAAAAAACTTAATCATCGATGTGTTTAATATAGAAGAAAGAGATGTAAAATATTAAGAATATTTTTTCAAATACATGCGATTTTGTTGTATATAGCTAAAATCGTGTACAAATCTAAAGCAGAGTAGTATGGGCATCATCTTAGGAAACTCCTTCTTGTCCCACAATCACTTGGGTTCTTTAGTTTTTTATTTTTGACTTAGCATAATTGGGATTTAGTTTTGGGATCGATTTTCGTATCTTTCAAAATCTGCAGTATTAAATCATGAATCGTAGATTTTCTTGCAATCTGCCTAACCTGCTCCAGGACTGCATCCTTATGGATTATTTATCTTGAGATATCTTAAGAATTTAAATTTTGTATGATTTTTTAAAGATGACTCTAACCATAATATATGTATGCTGATGATACGCAGTTCTATTACAGCTTTTCTAAATCGGATGCTTTAGCTGCACGGGATAATATAAATAAAGATCTGAACGACCTAATCACGTTCGCGGTTAGGCATCAATCCTTCGAAGTCGTCGGTTGTTGTTTTTGGATGTGGTGGTGTTCCTGATTGTTTCACTGTGGCCACTGGTATATGTATCAATGGTCAAATGGTAAATGTGGTATCTGACGCGCAAAACTTGGGCTTGGTTGTCGACTCTGAGTTGAGGTCCATAACATTAGTGAGTCCATAACATTAACGTTAGGCATAGGCATACACTAACGATACTCCAACATCGTTGACAATTATTTAAACGATCTTTTTCGAATTGTATGCCGAATGTTTACAACAAAATTGCGGATTCGATAAAGCAGGAGAGTGTGCTGGGTTTCAACGTAAATTTCGTAGATAAATTTTTGCATCTGCCTCTGCATATTCCTTCCTTTTGATTCTTCGCTTATAATAAATTTAATTTGAATTTTTGTTAATTATTACTTAAATTTTTATAACTCCTCGGTAGGGTCAATAAAAAATGTTATTATTTTTGTGCTATTGTATTCTTTATATGTTGTGGTGCTAATAAATAAATAAATAATGATTATTCACCGCTATTATTCACTTTGTGAAAAATGATTATCCTTTAAAACTAATTTTTTTAAATAAATTTTTGATTAAAGTTAAACGTCAATGTGACACAATTTCGATGTCACCAACTGTAACCAACTTCACAACAATTTATCAATTTTATAAAATTACATGTTTTTTTTTACGAAAATTAATTAATTTATGCTTAAATCATACGAAAAAAAGAATTTGTTTATGTTTTTTTAATATCAAATCTTTAGAAAGTCATAAAAAAATTAAATTAAATTGACGTTTTTTAAAATTAAATCCTTGTATAATCATATACTATTTTTGTAAGATGGCCGCTTTTGATAATAATATTGACAGATTAAAATTCATTTTTAGGTTATATTGAGATTATATCGAATTCTATAAAATAAAAAGAAATCTTAAGCTATTTTATCCCATCTCCAAACTGTGCCATCATCGCATACACAAAGCAATATATTTCCATCCCTACTTAAACTTGTTTGTCGAACGGCGCTAGTACATCTCGGATGTTGTAAAGTGTAACATTTCGCTTGACTCGGATCGGTTACATCCAAATCCCACACAAAAACTTTCCCAATTTGATTACCAAGCGCTAAAATTTTCTGCCAAAAATCCATCGAGAACCGAACGAACCAAATTTCGCACTCTTTATATTCAAAGCGATGGATAATCGTCGAACTTGTATCTCCAGGTCTTAAAGTTTCATCTTCCAATCGACCCGGTTTCCAACAAATTATGCAATTCTCGCACGATTTGCTAAAAATAAAATCACCAAACCATCGGACGCAATCAACGTAATTTCTGTGGATATCTCGAGTTGAAAAGTCAGGAAAATGTTCTTTTAATGAATCGAACGGTCTTGAACTTCTACTAGCAATCCATTGGTACGAATCTTTAATCGCTTTATTCATCGATTCTTTATCTAATTTCCATAACTTTAAAGAGTGATCCATTCCACAAGACATAATTCTATTACCCAATAAATCAAAATCCTAAAATTAAATCAAAATAATTTATTTTTTTTAACCTCAATTAAATTAATTACTGCACTTAAAACTTCATCTCTATGGCCTTCAACGCCACCAAAAATTGCTATACACACATCGGTTTTTATATTCCATAATCGAAGAGCGTGATCTTTTGAAACTGACAATAATAAATTAGGATCTCTCGGATGAAATTTTAATTCGTTTATAGCATGACCGTGCCCTATGTAGTGACGAATACACGTCATTGTAGCTGGATTTAATATTCGAATAACCCCCCTTGATCCAGCTACAGCTAAAAGTGGCTTTCCCGTTTCTTCGTCGTGAGACCATGCGCATGTATAATAATTTTCATCCAACTAAGTTTAATTAAGTAAAAAAGACGTTTTTATTTGAAAATTTAACACTAAAAGTACCATGAATTTATTGAAAATGGCTTGTTGCATTAAAAAGAGGATACTTTAATTAAATTGGTGATATTTCAATTAATTGCAACATCGAAAATTTTATCAAAACTTCAAATATTGTTTTCTCAAAAACTAAAAGTTATTTTTCAAAACGGGTTGTTTCATTGGAAAGAGGACACTGTTATTAATACTTTGGGAAATATTCATACTCATATTCCAAGAAATGGATTTTATACGAATTTTTTAAACTTAATCGGCGAAAATTGCAAAATTCGAAAAAATTGTCGATCATTTCAAAAATTTATTTCTCAAGAACTAAAAGTGATTTTTCAAAACGGCTTTTTGCATTAAAAAGAGGATACTTTAATTAATAATTGGTGATATTTCCACAAGGATCCTTCAAGAAATTAATTTTATAGCGAATTTTGAAAATTATCGATGAAAATTGCAACATCGAAAATTTTATCAAAACTTCAAATATTGTTTTCTCAAAAACTAAAAGTTATTTTTCAAAACGGGTTGGTTCATTGGAAAGAGGACACTTTTATTAACACTTTGGGAAATTTTCATACTCATATTCCAAGAAATGGATTTTATACGAATTTTTAAAACTTAATCGGCGAAAATTGCAAAATTCGAAAAAATTGTCGATCATTTCAAAAATTTATTTCTCAAGAACTAAAAGTGATTTTTCAAAACGGCTTTTTGCATTAAAAAGAGGATACTTTAATTAATAATTGGTGATATTTCCACAAGGATCCTTCAAGAAATTAATTTTATAGCGAATTTTGAAAATTATCGATGAAAATTGCAACATCGAAAATTTTATCAAAACTTCAAATATTGTTTTCTCAAAAACTAAAAGTTATTTTTCAAAACGGGTTGGTTCATTGGAAAGAGGACACTTTTATTAACACTTTGGGAAATTTTCATACTCATATTCCAAGAAATGGATTTTATACGAATTTTTAAAACTTAATCGGCGAAAATTGCAAAATTCGAAAAAATTGTCGATCATTTCAAAAATTTATTTCTCAAGAACTAAAAGTGATTTTTCAAAACGGCTTTTTGCATTAAAAAGAGGATACTTTAATTAATAATTGGTGATATTTCCACAAGGATCCTTCAAGAAATTAATTTTATAGCGAATTTTGAAAATTATCGATGAAAATTGCAACATCGAAAATTTTATCAAAACTTCAAATATTGTTTTCTCAAAAACTAAAAGTTATTTTTCAAAACGGGTTGGTTCATTGGAAAGAGGACACTTTTATTAACACTTTGGGAAATTTTCATACTCATATTCCAAGAAATGGATTTTATACGAATTTTTAAAACTGAATCGGCGAAAATTGCAAAATTCGAAAAAATTGTAGAATTGGTTTATAGAAATTCTCAGATTTATTCGATTTGATAAAAAAAAGTGCCCATAACAGAAAACAGATAAATTCGCCTTGATATCTGAGGTATGGAATAAATTTATTGAGAACGGTCAAAATTGTTATAAACAAGGGGTAAAAGTTATTGTGGACGAACAACTATTTCCGACGAAAGCAAAATGCACAATTACGCAATATATGTCCATTAAGCCAGACAAATTTGGCATCAAATCACGTCTACTATTGAAATTGATTCCATAAATTTATTTTTTTAAATAAATTTTTGAATAAAATTTAAACGTCAATGTGACAGAAATTCAATGTTACCAATTGTAACCAACTTCACAACAATTTGTCAAAATTAAATGTCAATTTTATGAAACGTCATGTTTTTTTTAGCGAAAATTAATTATGTTTAAATCATAGGAAAAAAGAATTTATTTACGTTTTTTTAATGTCAAACCTTTAGAAGTTCTAAAAAAATTAAATTAAACTGACGATTTTTGAAATTTTGACGTCTCATTACCAGTCAAACTGTAAAGTCAAACAAGAAGTAGAGTTATAGCAAAAGAAGTCAGTGGAGAAAGAGAAGAGCAAGTAATTAAGCTGGTACAAATAGAAAAACAAAATATTTCAGGACATAATAAAGAAAAAAGTGAAGAAGGAAATCTTATGAAAATGTTGAGACAATTAATGGAAGAAAATAGAAGAAAAAATAGAGGAGAGTTAAGTTCAAATATATGAACATCAAAAAGAACTCAACACAAACATTAGCAATTTGGAAGCAAGACAATCTGACACAGAAAAGAAATTGGACGATAATAACAACAAATTAGAAGACTTAGAAGAAAAACAAGTTAATATAGAAAAGGCACAATCACAAAGATTGAGTCACATGTAGTGGAGTTAGAAGGAAATACCAATAAATAAAACCAGAAAATAAGAGGTAATTGAAGAATGGAATCTAGATAGATTAATGAAAGAGAAACAGGCTATCAATGCAGAATATTTCCAATTTTACAAATTAAAACCAGAATTATGGCCTAAATTAAGAAGAAACAGAGATAAATTAGCTTTTTTTCTTTTCAATTTTGTTTTTGTTGCTAAGAAACAATAAATTACAGCATTTATTAAGTCTTGGTACGTTTAGTGTTAAAAAAAACAAAAGGATACATCTGGATCAGCATAACATTGTAACAATTTAATACCATTTCCTTCAGGACATTCATAAATAGAAACTCGATTTGTTCCAACAGCTGCAAAAACCAACGGTTGGCCTTCTTTTAGACTATGATTGAATTGTGTGCCAAATAACGGTTGAGCATGATCTTCTTTTATACTACAACTAATTCCAAGAAGAGAATTATTGACCAAAAACTTAATTGAAACATTTTTATTACGTATATTTATAAATTGGCTTCAAAACTTTGTTCTGGCTGATTTTTCTTTTACCACGACGACCTCTTCTGAGTCTATTAGTAGGGGTGGCACTTCTCGAGGTGTTATCCGTAGTTGAAGTGCTTCCAACGGAAGAAGTTTCATCCTAAAAATTTTTTGTTTTAATTAAAATAAAAAGTTAAAAAATATTATTTACCAAATCATCGCCTGATTCTTCCGTTAAATTCGAGTTTGATAAATCGTTATTCATCCTAGATAAAAACACTTTAAAGTTGGAAATGTAAAAATGCTTCAGTTGTAAACAAGAAGTTCAAGAAACTGGTGGTTATGGTGGTTTTTATTACTGCGCATGATCTTATGGGGTTTAGGCTTTTCTTTGATGGATGGCGGTTATTTTTGGAAGTTATTTGCTTTAATTTAATTATAATTATAAAAGATATGATTTAGTTCAATTTTAAACCATACTTTTTTTTGAAACATAACCTCACTATCTATAACTATATTAATAACACTTTTTTTTTGCTAAAATTGATGCAAAACTTTATTAAAAAATTGTTTATTTAAATAAATAACAACAATCAGTTTCAAAATAATCATATTTATTAATTATTAATAAAATAATTAAAATTATTTAATTATTTCAAAGTTACCCAACCTTCGTTACCATGGAAATTTCGTCGAATACATACAAAAATTAAGTTTAATTACAAACAATAGCTTCGTTTTGAAGAAGACGCGCTTTTTTGAGATTATGTTGAGATTATCTTAAAATTGAGAGTTAAATTAAATCAAAATTCGTTAATTCTCATAATGAATGAGGTAAGAATATTTATTTTATTTAAATCTTGAATTATTTTATAAACTTATAAAATAAGTATTTAATTTTAGTGAAGACGATTCACACCAACACAATCAAACGGATTAATTCGTCTTAATTAAGGTAAGAATTAACATTTTGTTTATAACAAATTTCAAATAAATTCAATTTTGTCAAATTTTAATATGTTCATGTTCCGTTGCTATGGAAACATGCGTTGCTATAAAACAATCGCTAGGTGGCGCTATATAAAAGAATGACGCAAACATAATAATTTTTGAGGTTATTATTATTATTATTTCCTTCCACAGGTTGTGTTTTGGAGTTCAAACTTTCATTCAAATCATTCTCCGGTCGCAGAGTTTCTTCTAATTCTGTTTCTAAATAAGACTTACATATATGGAACAACACTTTAAAATAGAGATGACAAAATTAATGGAAGGATACTTCTTCTGCGAGGTAGAAGTCCAGTGACTCGACTTTCTTAGGACCTTTTGGGAGGACTCTCGGACAACTAGATCTGGAAAGGGATTATAAGTATAAATAGTGTATTAAGGTCTAAGTAATATCACAGTCAGTTATATCTTTCTATAATTGACTAGTTATCACAATTATTTCTATTTAGTCCTTCTTGATATCACATTTATTTTAGTTTTGGAATTTGCTAGCACAGTATTTTCTTGAGGAAACAACGTATTCATATAACAATACATCTTTGAACGCCTTATATATGATTTGCTGATGTTTAATGTCAAATCATCCTTAATCCTTGAACAAGATTTTTTTACTTAATTTATTTTCTAATTTTTTATTAAATACACTTGGTAACAATAGCCAAGTTGATGCTATACAGGGTGTTAAGTAAACATACGGCAAAAATTCAAGGCGTTATTTCTTGACCTATTCTAAGAATATTGTGTCCTATGATGATTTTTGAAAAACCCCTTTGATTCGAAGATACAGGGCGAACAAAATTTACGACAATAACAACATTTTATTACCAAAAAGTACATGTAAAGTTGCTCAATCTACAATAAATGTTCGAAATGACTTCCCCCAGCCTGAATATAAGCATCAATCTTCAATCTTCACGTCGTTTATTGCCGAACTCTTTCAAACACACTAGGGTCGTTTCTAATTGAGTGTCCCAGCAATTATCCGATTTCGCAAATCGTCAAAATTCTCCACTGGAGTAGCGTAAACTAATGAATTCAAAAATCCCCAGAAAAAATAATCCAAGGGGTTGAAGTCTAGGGATCGAGCATGTGTGTGGTCCACCTCGACCAATCCAGAGATTTTCGTATGTTGCTGTTAAAAATCACGAGTAACCAAACTGAAATGTGGTGGTGCACCATCATGCATAAACCACATTGCAATTCTTTCCGCGTATGATACATCCTCCAGAATCTCAAGCAGCGTTTCTTCTTCAGTATGTAATCTTCTAAATTTAGTGTTCCGCTAGTATTATCTAGTCTTCTGCAAACAGCATCTAATCTTTTATTAGCAGTACCTAATCTTGTATTAGTAATATCTAGTCCTAGGGTAGGACAGTACAATCTAACTTTATTTCTAATTTTGTATTAAATATTCTTGATAACAATAGCCAAGTTGATGCTATACATATATACTGAAAACAGCAAAAGCTTTGACAGGATTGACCATAGGATTCTTCTAAAAGAACTCTCCAACTACGACATCCCAAATGCCCTAATTTACTGGATTTCAATTTCAGTATCCACCTGCATTGATCACCTAGAGCAAGTCCAAAAGCGTTTTCTTCGGCACCTTCATACAAATTTTTATGCGCAGCGATGCACAGTTTTCGGTATCCAGCAGCTCTCCTCTAGGCGCTAAATTAATATCAAGGCAGTAGTCAACAACTACTGTTCCACGATACTATCTGAGTTACAATTTAAAGTTCCTGTTCGACCATCTCGCGACTTGTCTTTATTTACTGTACTACGTACTAATACGAATGCGTTTTCAAACTCCTTTGTGTTTCGTTAGAATTTTGTTTCTGGGCGAAGTGATGGTTTTTTATATGATTTTTTTGTATCGATTTGTTTGTTCAATTGTCTCTTTGTTGATGGTTAGTTTAGGTTGGGTTGCATTAAGTTCTGGGATCCATCACTACCTGTGTGAGAATTGTTGATTGCTGAGTATAATCCGGACCCACTTTCTGCGCAGCTTCATAAGTCTTGTGTATTTTGGACATTTTCTCATTCTTGGTAAGGTCCCTCTTTCATTGCTGAGATGGTTGTTACCACAGAAGGTGCATCTTGGTGAATTTTTTTTTTCACATTTGTGCTCTTCTATGCAAGCCGGGCATCTTGTTTTACATTTGCACTGTTTTTTGGTATAATCGTATCGTAATCAATTCTGGCATTGGGTTACCGGGGCAATGTATGGTTCTGGGCGTCTGACACTGAAGACGAGCGTAACTATCTGTGGTGAAGGTGTTCCTCTAAATGTCACTATGACTGAGGCAGTGCTAATATCATTAGGTCCATCCTCCGTTTCGATTCTTGTTTTGATTCGGTGGACATGTATTACCTTTTCTCTTTCTTCTGTTTCAAGATGGGCTAATAATTCTTCTTCAGCAAAACTTGAGTCTGCTTGTGTAAAGACGCCTTTGTATGACTTGGGATAAATGCATTCCAACCTCTACTATGGTCTAGATGTCGGAGGTTATGATTTGATGTTATACACTGTGTTAATTAATTATTGTACGATTATGCAACCAATATCACAGTACGCGTATTGCAATACCAATACTGTGATATTGGTTGCATACTTGCAATGATGACGTCGGGTACGATAATTAAGTAACACACTGTATTTATTGTAAAAATCTTTAAAAACGAGATGTTAGATAAATCCTAATTATTTTTTTTTAAATTTTATGTTTAAATTTAATTACCTATAAAGATTAAAACTACATAATAAAAAAAAATAACTTCCACTCGGTCTAAAAGAGTCTCATTAAGGTGAAAGATTTTGTGTGGGGGTTCGTGGGGAGTGAGTTGGTTTGGGAAACGATAAGAAGAGGGCTCCTTATTGTGCCTTGCCATATAAATATCGTGCCGGGCAATCATAGACTCAAACGGAGCGTGGCCAGATGTTATACAAAAGCGGTCGCAGATTAGCCCTTGGCGCGCGCGGTCCATCATCTGGCTTTTCCCGTGGCCGATTTAAAACTCACGCCATCCATCCCTTCGGTCGTTTCGAACTCGGCTATTATCATTTCTTTTAAAAACCCACCCTAATATTACTTGGAACTCGCGATGAGGATCTTAATGATCTCTTTAAGCCCCAATAGAAAATTTCTAAAACTACAATCAACCGAAACAGAAATAAATGAGAAAATAAAAATTATTTTTTTTTTGAATAATTTATTGAGTGAAGAATAAACAAAGAAACTTATAATATTCAACGTGCATGTTAAGATTAATAACACTATAAATATGACTAGATAATCCTACTAAAATCATTTTTTTTAACAATATTAAGTTGGATTATAGATGAGATTAATATTAATTTTAAATACAGTCTTAATTATTTAACTAACTTCCAAAATTATTTTAACATTCTCTTACTTATAATAGTTCATTGAATCACAGAACTTTGTTCTTTGGTGTTTTCGCTCGCCGTTGTTTCTGTTGATCTTGAATTGAAGTGTGGTAAAATCGAGGGTGTCGTTGAATGATAACAAGCGGTGTCAACGCATATGGGACACATTGTACCGGGGAATGTACCAAAAATTTTCCTAAAAATATATTATACACTTCAAATAAGATAATAAATTTATGGAAATAATTAAAACTCGATGATAATGATGATGATGATATCGTGGAATTGGTAATTAGAAATTTAATTACGTCGAACACCTGTTAATATGATGTTCTTTGATCGTTCTGTCAACCCTTAAGCGGTATTTATTCGAATTGTACACGCATTTTTACAATAACTAAGGGTGGATACACAAAATGGGGTGTTTTAATTCATTTACATCATTAAGAAGAAATAAAACCCGTATTACCAAATTTTTTTTATTATACTGGTGAACTATGCAGTTTAAAGCATTAAAACCTTATGGCATTTTGCAACACCTTGTCAAAAGGAATCCAAAAACCTTAAAATACAGGCCGTCATCATTTTTATTTTATTTCTACGCCAAGATATGCGAAAAATAGTTTCAAGTAACTTTTATTTAAAACTTTTTTTAATACAAGTTGAAGTTAAAGCTGTAGAACCATTATTCCATACTTTTTGTACACCCTGTATAGTATAGGCGACTAAATTATAATTATAATATATTTGCGATCGATGAAATCTATAAAAATTCTAACAGAACAACACAGAAGTTTTTGACTCAGCTCTTTGTCAAGATTTTTTTCCTTGCCATTTTTTGGAATCAATCAAAAGTATCAAGTTAGATCCCCATGATATCCTGGTAAATTTTGTTGTGGAGTCTCCATTTGCACCAGTCAAAGATGCCATTGATGGTTTTCGCCAGAAACTTATTCCGGAGGATTTACCGAAAAATATTCCATGGCACTTCAGAACAATTTTTACATGGAGAGATGTTTGAAGAAGAAGTGTTAAGGAAACCAAAGCTATGGTTGGG